TTTTTTATTACCATTATCATTATGTGCTCATTGTTAATTTCCTTTATATTTATAAACCATGTATCTATCAACAAGTCATCAATTAATGGGTCTGCATTATATCGCGACCTTGATAATGATAATTACAATGAAATATTGTTCAAAGGATTCCTAGGCAAGTTGGATGCTTTAGTAACTGAATTTAATAAAAATTCAATTTTGCAAGTAACAGGAAGGATCATTGTCGAAAATAATTTAGAATATGTATGTACACACAATATAATATGGGGATTGCTGTAAATATTTGTTAATTGTATATATATTTTTTAAAAAAAAAATTCTAAATAGTTAAACCTCATCCAGGCAACTATAATTGAAGATGATGCAAAAAAAGATGACCTCCCACAAGCAAATCCTTTGGTTGTTTTAACTGCGCCGTATGAAGTAGATACATATAAAAAATTAGAAAACATTCAATTCGAATCTTTTTTTGTCTCACGAACAGCATTCAATGGTGTTACTGCCAATAAAATAAATAACTCCAAAGCACTCATTTCTTATACAAGCACCTCTTCAAGGTAAATTTTCCCTTTTAAAAATTTCTATAATCTTAATGCATATATATATATATGTTTAATAATAATAAAAAATAATTTTTAGATTTTCAAAAATCAAAGACCATCTGAAAAAAACCATCCTTACAATCGTTGGGAAAAAGGTGACCAGCTCAAGTAAAGTCATTCATGTCCATGCAAGTGAAATTGAGTTTAACTATCCTGCACTTGGTGATGAAAATGTCAGTGATGGTAATGATGAAAAAACAAAAAAATCCAGCAATCCATATACACAAATAGAAAGCTCTTATTCAGAAAATTCCAAGCAAAAAAGAAATAAAAAAAGGAGTTGTCATGAGGAAGATCGTGTTACTGTAAATAATAATGATAAATTTATTGGTGCTATTGAAAGACAATGATACTCAAGAAGGTGGATCCGAACCTAAAAATGATGACAATGAAAATTTATACGTTGGTAAGGGTAAAGAGAAGGCAGTAGAATTAACAAATCAAGAGTATGAAACACAAAAATAAAACTTGAACTTTTTATTTATTATATTATTTTTTAAATATGTGTTTGTTTAATATTTACATTTAAAATGTATCAATTTTTATAAGTAAATAAAATTTATTACATGTACAATCATATAATAATTTAATTGTTGTGAATAATTATGCAAACTTAAATCATGTAAAACAAGTATTTTAAAAAAGCACTTCAAGTGTTGAGTGTTTATATCATTGAAGATTTTTTTATCTTACAATAAAATTAAATACAAACAAATAAAACAAAAAATCATATAAATAGAACTCTCTTTTAAGTACTTTAAAAATAAATCTATACAATAATAATTGATTTTTGTGAATTAAAAAAAAAATGTCTAATAATTACAACATTCAACACTATAAATTTTTCAATTCCACATCAGATCAATATGAAAGTTCTGAAAATCCTATACAAAATACTCAATACAGTGATAATATTTTTGACTCCTACATTCATTGAAATGAAATAAATCAAAATCTACCAAATAACCCTAGATCTTATGGAAATAATAATCAATTTAGCACAAATCTTTCTTCTCCAATGGGTCAAAATCTACATTTAACATGGTCTCCATCACCTTCTCTATGACAGCTTTTGTTAGAATTTGAAAACAAAATATTACATGAATATCCAAATATTCCTTGTGCTTACTGCTCAATTCTTATGATGATATCTTATGTTAAATG